CAAAAAATCAGCTTTGGGAAACCAATAGTGGTTGGTGTTGAGGGATGCCAACCAACCTCCACTGTGAAAGTCCCAACAGCTTAGTATTAAATGGCAAGCACACATAGTGTCTACGTGACAGGAAATCTGGATGGCCAAAAGTGCAAACCCTTGTGAGTATTAAGGTGCTAGGTCACAAAGGAGTACCAGAAGCCATACAGAAGCTCTGTGGTGTGACAGGACATTATGCAAGGTTGTGGGGAGCAGTGTGGGTAAGTATTGAGCTCATGGGCATAAAGGATGGACACAAAATATACTTGGCTGACATAAAAGACCAATGCATATTAGGGTTGGACTACTTACTACCAAGGAAGTGTGTAATTAACTTTGATAAAATGACATTAGGGAACAATAAAGGTCAAATTCTGGTAAGTGTTGCTGCATCTGTTGATTTGCATGTCAACTACAATACCCCTTATATCAGAGAAGATAATTTGGGGTATAATAAAAGAACATCCCCAAGGAAGTCTGATGCTTGTGGAAGCAGTGGAAGGCCCATCCAGGCCAGCAGACGTGAAGATTGGAAGGTCACTTGAGGCAGGTCATCAAGTAGTATCCATAACAGTGGTTAATTTCTCTAAATGTGAGCAGACACTTAAGGAAGGGGCATTGTTGGGTGTGTGACAGGAGGTAGAGCTAGTCAATGTTAAGGCAAGAAATACAACCATAAAAAAAGGACATCCTCTCCCAGAACATTTAACTGACCTCTATAGGAAGAGTATAGCCCATTTGTCATCATCACAGGCTCTTCAGGTTAGAGTTTTGGTGAATTATGCAGACGTTTTTTCAAAAGGAGATCATGACTTTGGCTGCACAGACCTTGTGGGGCACAGAATAAACACAGGCAATCACTGTCCAATAAAGATACCTCTGAGGAGAATAGCTCTGGCAAAGAGACAAGAGATGGGGATGGTCATGCATGGCCTAATTAAGGAAGAGATAGACGAGAAATCAGATAGTCCCTCGTCAGCTCCCGTCGTGTTAGTCCAAAAGAAGGATGGGACCCAACGTTGCTGTGTGGACTTCAGGACTCTTAACAGTATAACCAAAAAGGACTCGTACCCACTGCCAAGAATTGATGATACTCTTGATGCCGTAAGTGGAGCCAGGTGGTTTTCAACTCTGGACTTAAAGTTGGGTTTCCATCAAGTGAAAATGGCTGAAGCAGATAGACCCAAAACAGCATTTAGTTATGGCCAAGGTCTCTGGCAATACCGAGTGATGCCATTCGGGCTCAGTAATGCTCCAGCTACATTTGAGAGGCTGATGGAACGAGTATTGGAAGGCCTACAATGGAGGATAGCCCTAGTGTACCTGGATGATGTCATTATGTTTGCAGAAACATTTGATGAGGAAGTATCCTGGCTATAGGAAGTATTCAAGCATTTGAAAGCAGTAGACCTCAAAGTCCATCCCAAGAAATGCTACTTGTTACAGAAAGAGGTGCTTTACTTGGGTCACATTGTAAGTGAGCATGGTGTGCGAACTGATCCTGACAAGTTGAAAGCAGTGCATGATTGGCCAACACCAAACAATGTGGGAGAGTTAAGAAGTTTCTTGGGACTCTGTACCTATTACTGGAAGTTTGTGAAGGACTGCAACTATAGCTGCTCCACTACATGATTTGACAAAAAAAGGCCAGAAGTTTGAATGGACAGTTTCTTGGCAGCATACTTTCAAGACATTAAAAGAAAAATTGGCCTCATCTCCACTTTTAAAGTTTTCAAGTCCCTCACTGCCGTACATACTATATTGTGATGCTAGTAATGTTGAAATTGGAGGAGTTTTGTCTCAGAACATGGGTGAAAACGAACATGTGGTGGTCTATTTCAGCAGGGTCCTGAGTAGACCAGAGAGGAACT